CCTTTAACGTTCTCATTCTCATGGTCTCAACAACGTCCGCAGTAACAACACCCATAGGGCGCACAGCACATTTTGAGGGAAAAAAAGACGTTTATATGCGCCTTATAGTTGCAAAAATACGGTAATAAAAAAAAATCTAAAGATTAATCGATTTGCAAAATATTCGTTAGTTGCAGCCCTACTTTATTCAGTATCTTTAAAGGTTAAACAGAACATCATATCATCAGCAAGAATGTATGATAATCTGAAAGGTACGTTTGGGTTAATCTGATATTCTAAAAGCTAGTTTGAATCCAAATCTTTAACCGTATTTGTTTTAAACGTCTCTTCAGCCATGATGCTGGCTGCAGAGGATGAGCCCCTTACAGACGCACGATTTGTGGCCGTGAAGGCTGTTTAAAATGTTTTACTCTTGAGCATTGAGAAATAGCTTTGACTTCATCAGACGCTTCCTCGGATTATAAATATTAAGACATTTTGCATGTGGGAAGATAATATTGTCCAATACTCTAATGCAATCAACAAAAAAATTGAGTTACAGGGAAGAAAGGCCAGCTGTGAAGGAGCAACATCATCAGATAACTGTTGAATGCCAATAAAAAGAAGCTGAAGTTTGTATGCTTGACTCTGGCCTTGGATTAGGGTAATTGGTGTGATTTATAAAAGCAGAGCCACCTTTCTAAGCTCTTTCTTTTAGCCATGCTTGATATGCTGAGTACCTTTGGTTGCTGACCTCATCGCGCTCCACTGTTCAATGCAAAAAAAGTTGGTACCTATAGGCACGTTGAAGCATGATGCACATGCGCAATACCCCGCCCCAAATTTTGCTGCTGGAGGCCAAAAATCCTTGTTTTGTAGCGGTAAAGTTACAAAGTTCATGCTCTAAATCTTCTATTTATGCGTGATTTAGTACATTTTTTCAAGTCTACCCATTTGGACTGAAGGCTTCTATTACAGACTAATATTATAACTAATTGAAAAACCAAAAATATACAGCTTGCATCTAGTATTGTCACACAGATTTATATAAATATCAAATCCTCTCACCCTGCTTTGCATGCGCGGTGGGCAGACACCACATAGCCTTTTATTTTGTCCATGCGGACCTAGTGATGCCCTTTCTTGTTGATCATTTTCTGCGATGGCACACCGCAGTCATGCGATCATCTGTGTGATATAGCGTTCGCCCAACATGTCCAGACACAAAGATGTTATATCTTTCTAATGACTTGCATGCATTCATTGACATTGAATTGACACATTCATTGAGCTAAAACTCTACTAAAAATTGGATTATTCCATAAACATTATTTGATTTTCCCAACATATTTTAGGTTTGTAGTTTGTATCATCAGGTGTCCCTAAACTTGGTGTAAAGAAATAAATGCTCAGTGCTGTGATCACAGGAATATCATTTGGTTAAATTAAGGGTAAACTTTTCTTTTTTTTTTTTTCTAACAGACATGGCGGTCAGAGGGGTTCATGGCGCTCTACAAGGGTTTCTTTCCAAACTGGCTGCGCCTGGGACCATGGAACATCATCGTATCCTTTCAGCCATCAGCCGGCTGCTGCTCTGGCTTTGCACGACCTCTGAGATGAAAGTTACTTCTGGATGTGGCAGGTTTTAAAGTACTGCATTCAGAAACTTTCTGATCGTAAATATTAATTTAATTCTAGCTGAAATTACTGCTTTTCAGAGCAAATACAGCATTCCATCTAAAACAGGAATGTTTTGACATTAGGTCACACTCCTTGGGTCTAAAAAAGTAATGTGGGGTTTAACTTATAATGGGGTGACAAACATCTGAAGTGAAAAAGCTCAATTTTGTTCTACTTTTCATACTTTCCTTCACTCCATCTTCAGTTCTTCCTCACTTATGAGCAGCTGAAAAAGCTCAACGTGTGACTGAATGTAAATGAGAAGAAGAAAAGAGCTTTCACTCGGAGGCGAGGGGGACCAAAATCAGGAATGTCTGGAATTATGGTGGATCCTTGAGGAAAAAGCAGCAGGAAAGGCGAGAGGAGTACGCAGAAGGAATCCGATCCCTGCGCCGCTCCAGGCTCTGCGTCTGCTAAAAAGCCTGCAGGAAATGTGAAAAGGACTGTTACACGAATAATCCCATGGCTTCTCGCTCTCATCCGGATGCCACTTTAAGGCGTCACACCGCCACGTTTCTGCTCAAACTCAAACCAACTGCTTTATAAACTGTGAAATTGTTCAATTCTGGAAAGAGACTGCAATATTTTGCATTTCATTCTGAGGCTGCTGCTTGTGAAACGCCTCTATTAATGAAGGTGAAGGGGGAAAATGCATGCAGCCTGTTTTTATTTAAAGCTTATTCACTCAAAGTGCTCTGTAAAATGTGTGCCTTAAAGCCCTTTGTGTTCCAGGCTGTGAAAACTTGAGCAGCATGTGGACTCCGACTGTTGGACAGCCGCTGTGACAATCGGCATCATTCCCCTTTTGAAAAAAAAATGTTTGATATAATGGATTTTATATCTATATTCCCAAAAAGGAGAACTTGTGTACGGAAAGTTTTGAGTTACTTGGCCTCCGTTGTGTGTATACAGTGTAAAGAGCCGCGAATAGAAGCTGGTGAATCATCAGTTCTATAAGGGCCTCATCACGTGCATGAGCAGTAAATATATTTATATCCTCTAGCTGCCTGGTGATGCATCAGTTACCTTTCAGCTGTCGCCTCAACTCATCACGTACGCAGACGATAATGTAAACTTGTATACATTTCACAAACCTCATGGTTGGCTTGACAGGAACGAGTCGGGCATCTCCTATTACTGCGTCACTAAAGCAACCGTTCAGTGCTGTTATTCTTTTGTACTGTATTTGCTCGCTTTTAGCATTCATTGGAAAGATATCGAGTACATTGAAGTTGCTTCTGCCAAAATGTATGCCAGTGTCATTTTGTAATACTACCTATGTTTATTTAAACACAGCTGCAGACTTGTGTATTTCCAAATAAAGAGTGACTTAAAATACTTTGCTATTTTCTTTACATCCATCTTTGGGTTTTTTCATTGCATGTCTGAGCAACATAAGGGACAAACTCACCAGATATCTGAATACTTCTTGTTTTCAGGCAACTGCAGTGGCAATTTTGTTGATTTCAGGATTGTGTTTAGGTGGAATTTATATTCTTTTTGCCTGTCCTTTCAGAGTATTTTAAAGAGATTTGCTACACTTGGTGGAAACTATTTTAAGCCTATATTTCTTTTCATATTTATGACTTTAGGTTACAAAAATTTAAATTTAGGAAAATAGAATATCACATTTGAGAAGTGGTCTGCAACATGCGGCTCTTTAGACACTCAACAATGACTCTTCAACACTTAAAAAAACATATGGTTTTAAATGTAGGTTAGTGTTTCCTGGTTAGGATATTTTCCATTAAATTAGTCTATTTATTCAACTGAATTAACATTAAAGAAATAACTTTTTTTTATCTTTCTTAAATGGGAAAATGTTTTTCTTTAAACAAGTTTCTAAAAACCACAGCAACCCAGTGGGAATTAATTATTCCATTCATTTTAAAACCTAAAAGTTGAAATGAAAGAGTGATTAATTAAAAAGGGGGCGCATTTCTTTTGCTCTATTTAAAAAAAAAAAAAAGTCACATAATGTTATCAGCTGCAAATGACCTTTTAATAGCTGGACTGAATATAAATAATGGATCTGTTGATTGCGAAGTTTGTTGACCCCCGCATTAGGCCAATCAAAAATTAAGCTTTTTTTTTATTGAGAGGTGTTTTTTATTTATCTTTTGCTCTTGATAGCCACCATTGTGTCATCTGCCTTGTTGGGTCTAATGTCTCTCACAATAGGCCAATGATTCTCTTTGGGTTCTAGCTTATGGCTGATTACCAGACCAATCAAGAACAGGAACACAATGGTTACTAAACTTGTTCCAGTTCTGCCAGAAAATCTAATCAGGATCTCCATACAGCTTGTGAGCACAGGGGAGCATTGAGTTCTTTAGATGTGGCGTTAAATCTACTTTTTCAATCACTGGAAATTTCACACTGGAAATCCAACAATATGGATTCAAAACTTCTCTACTCTTCCTCAAGAAGAGACACTGACATACAATAGTGCATTTAGAGATGCTAATTAACCTAACAGCCATATTTTTGGACTATGGGAGGAAGCTGGAGTACCTGGAGAGAACAAAAACATGCTAACTTGATGCAGACTCAATTGAATCTGGAACCTTCTTGCTGCAAAGCAACAGTGCTACTAACTGAGCCGCCATGCAGTCTGACTCTGGGGCCTTGATTTCCAAATAAAATGCAGAATTTATTTTCATTTAAATAAACTTAATACTTTGGGTTATTAAGTAAGTCCAGCACATTTTCTCGTTTGCCCGGGTAAGACACTTCTCACATCTTGTAATCTGCTGTAAGTTGGCTCTTGATGAGCCTTAGTCCTCTCCTTTTAAAGCTCCTCCATATTCTGACATTAAATTGATTTGATAGTCTGCTAAGGTTCCTGTTACAATGTCTTTTTTCCTTCTTTTCCTTTCTTTCTTCCACTCAAGTTTATGTTTTTGTGCTTTGATATTGACCTCCATTAAAAGATTTTAGTTGTAGCTGCCCAGTGTTACTTTGTCAGTTTCATTTAAATATTTATTTAAATGTCCTGCAAAAAGTAAGTCATCTTTCTTAAAGCAACTGCATTTTTTTTTTCGTAATTGAGCAGGTAAGTGACACACTTTGCCAATTCAATTAGACAATTTACATTTAAAAATAAAAACAACTATGTGTGCAGGTGGTTAGTGCGCATGGCCCATGTACGGGGGTCTTAGTCCTCAACATGGCCCACCCGGGTTCGAATCTGGCCTGTGGTCCTTTGCCACATGTCTCTCCCTCTCCCTCATACCCCCTTCCCTGTCAGGCTGCTGTCAGACAAAAGAGCCACAAGTGCCATAAAAAAAATAAAAATTGCAGTCTCTTATTTCAAGTGCATACAATCTGTCTAATTTTAAGGGTGAAAATAATCATTCTATTAGCAGATCATCTCATTTGCCCGCTGAAATTAAGGGTAAATACATTTATTTTAAGAATTTTACTCATTTATAGGTTATTTTTGCAGTGTACAGCTGTTTAAAAAAAACTAACTTGTAAACAAAAACAATGCTGTCTGTCTTTACAGTCACCACAGTGTGGCGCTGTGGGGCCACACGCCTCCATGACTCGACCCAGATGTTATGAACACCAGGAGCTGTTTGAAGCTTTCCATATTCCCAGTGCTCAACTTTGAGGCCACAAATCTAGCACAGTTGTGTTTCAGAGGGGATTGCTTTTTCTTTTTTTTCTGCAGTTTTCTTCAATCCCCTTCATATTTCATGTAGCAAAGCTCAAACATTAATTTTTCAGGGAAATTCAAGATGTAATTGTTTTCATTCTATGACTTAATTCCCGGTTTTCCTTCATGTGAGGAGATGATGAGGAGATCCAGGTTGCTGAGCAGAAGATGTTACTGAGATCTCTTTTATTTAGAGTGGTGGGGGGTGTCAGCTTGGGATTTATACTTTTATCTGTGTGAGCTGTTACTGTTTTATATTTCTCATCCAAACCCCCATGGGTTCCACTACTGCTGGGGAGCAGAGACTCTCAAATCATCCACATTTAAACAAGTTTACAACTCCAGGTGAGAACTGTGTCAAATAATGGCAGAAGAACACTTCATGCAGACAATGAGGTGAGCTGAAAAAACAAGGGAATCAGAATCCAATGTGTGTGCCCAGATTGGGCATCCACAAATAGGCATTGCAGCTTTCCGCCTGGCATCCCGTCTCAGGCACAGTCCTCCACAAGCTGGACCATTCTGTCCACAGGGGATTGCAGTAGTCAGACATCCTCCATTATGGGTGTTATTTGTTGCCTTGCCTAGGGGCACGAGGGAAATGGTTGCATTGTGTTGCAGGGATCAGAGTAAGTAAGCTTTTGTGTCTGAGGAATAAGGCTGCACTCCGCTGCAAACACCCCAGCCTTTTTATCTACTTTTGGGGGTTTTTGTTCTTTCATTTATGGAGGCTGGAGACAAAGCGGATGTGCAAACAAGGAAATAAATTTACCAGAGTTTAACTAACACTGGAGGGACTGGGTTTCGACCATATAATGCTGACATAAAGAGAAATATAAAACAGGATTCCAGCCTTTTCTTTTGCTTATTTTCTAAGTTTTTATCCAGGCTTCATTTAATTTTTCTAATTTATTAATGGCAACGATCGAGATTCATCATTTCATTTTTCTCCAAATAATTATGTTTTTCATAACGATAAAAATGTTTTAACCTAAAAAAAAATGACCACTTTCTGTGGAGAAAAATAAAATATTACAGTTTCTGGAAAATAGAGGTTGATGTCGGCGAAACATGCAGGAGAACATCAGAACAGCCTGTTTAAAGCAACCACAACTCTGTGAGGGGAAAACGTGCAGATTTCTGCTCTTCCCTGTTTCTACAGTAAACACACCGACACCTTGCACAGCTGCTTGTGGTTTATGAGGGGGGGAAAAGTGAGCTGAAGTGAGATATTTAGACAAGAAAGATCTGACAGAAATCAGAGCATAAGCTGCAGGAGCTCTGCAAACTAACAAAACATTTTATATAAAAAATATATGTTTCTGATGAATGCATTAGAATTTGGACTGTAACAGACAAAAAACGAGAAATAAATACAAATTTATTAGTAAATGATGGGATTGAAACACCTATAGGAACAAGATGGATGATTAATCTGCTTCAGATGAAGCTGGTGTTATAAGTCCTTTTAATTAATTCTTATTGTGTAGGAGGTTCATTATATAGAAACATATATTAGCTAAGGACTAAAAATAAAGCCCAGCTGTGTTTCCCTGCATGCACTTATGTTTATACAGCAAACTAACTACTAACTACATTTCATTTGACATTTAAGGAAAAGATTTTAAAGACGTGCACATGATTAATTTGCTTATTCTTGGTGCAAACCATAGAACA